TCATGACCACCTAGGTCCTAGGTAAGTCACACTCGCTTTTTGGGACTATCTCAGTTTGCAATCCGGTCCTGATGACAGATATGCCTTCGCTCTTATAACCGTGGTTGCTGGTAGTAACCAATAACTTTCCACTAGATCTGCATCAATGTTAAGCAACTCCTCTCCTCCACAGGCAGTGTTTCATATTTTCTGTATCAATTAACAGCTGCTGACAATATTGGTACCGATCACTGGCTGTGTTAATTCATACCTGAAGCATAGAAAACTGTGTTTTTTTTTTTGGGGGGGGGGTGCCCGGTCAGGTTGGCTGTATGGGGCCCCATGATTTCTAACAGCAGCAGTCTTCATCTGAAGTAGGGGAGGAGGGGCTTTCTCAGCTAAGCACACCCTCCTGTCTGTATGCCTGAGCTAGGGGCAAATGGATTCTAGAAAGTAAATGCTACATGAATCACCTGCCCTTACTCAAGATGGCCACAGCTAGAGACTAGTGTGGTGTCTTTTTAAAATGATTTGTTAACAAAATAAAGCACGGATATATGAATGGATGAGAGAGTTTGCTTTGCATATTAAAAATAAATTCAATACTGTTTTCGGTTTGTGGTGCTCAGATGCAGTATAGTTGTACTTTACCATTGCGGTCCGTTCACATTCGGTGATTTGGAATCGCAGCCAGAATCACTGTGATTCTGTCCACAATTCCAAATTGCAGCAAAATGCGCAACGTGTGTTTGGGTCAGGGGCAGACTGACAACTCATGGGGCCCCCGGGCAACAGAGGATCATGGGGCCCCTGTGTCCTTGCCCACACTCAAAGCACACCCAAAAAAGCCTATAAAAGGTACCAGGGGCATTTCATGGGGCCCCCTACTGACCCTGGGCCCTCGGGTAGTGCCCGAGTGCTCGAATGGTCAGTCCGCCCCTGGTTTGGGTGCCATTATTCTTAATGGCACCACAAACGCAGTGCAATTATGCTGCATGACAAGACAAGTGTTTAAAAATCGCAAGAAGCTTTTCGCCCTAAAAGAAGCAGGAGCTTGTTTGGGGCGACAAACGGTCATAGGGCAGCCCACTAAAGTGAATGGGCTGCCCTGTGTGTGACACAAGGAAATCACAAGCGAGAAAGCTAGTTCCAGCAACGCGAGATCTGAGCGGGGCCTAAATTAGAGAGAGCTGTGCTATTATAGATGTTAAATAAGTTTTCTTTTAACAAAAGTGAAGTTTGTCCCGTATATTAATGGTATATTTTTGTACAGAGGAGCCTGGAGCCGGGTCAGCAATGGACGAATCAGATGGACTGAAAGCTCGGAGACTGACCGATTACTATACCATTCACAAGGAGATCGGAAGGCAAGTCTTTTCCTGGGTGTGTGAGTGTAACTGAGCTGTTGGAAAGAAAATTTGGTACAATTTTGTTTACAATTATGGGGTCTATTCATAGAAAATTTGCTGTGTCAATGTCTCAATCACATATAATCACCATATTATGTTTAATACATTTATTTCCTGCATAGTGGCCATAATGCTGTATTTTCTTAACCACCTCCCGTCCAGCCATTGTATATAAACGGCCAGACGGTGGCAGTGCAGGGTCGGGTGGCTGTTTATAAACGGCCTCCCCGCACCCTGCTTGTGCGCACTCCCTGGGAGTGCGCAGCATCGCGATCCGGTGCCCGCTGTGTCCTCCGGACACAGTGAGACACCGATCGTCAAACGGGACCTCTGTACAAGGTCCCGATCATGTGATCGCTGATTGGCCAATCAGTGATCACATGCAAAGTAGTAAGCAAGATGTTACTTGTGACATCATTGCTTACTACGTGTGAAATCTGTGAATGATCACAGAGGTCACATGGTACAAGGCTATTCACAACAGCCTTGTACCATGTGACAAGCTGTGACCAATCACAGCTCACTCAGTAGTTCTCAATGGCTGCATGAATGCAGACAGAGAGAAAGAGAAATGGTTGCTTTTACATCCTATATGGGTGTAAAAGAAATCAGTGGAAAAAAAAAAAAATCTTCATCACCCCCCACAAGTAGTACAGTGTCACCATGGTGACACTGTACTGCTAGAGTGACAGTATGTAAAAAAAAAAATAATAATAATATAAAAAAATATAATAAAAAAATGTAAAAGAAAATGTTTAAAAATTATAGTTTTTGGTTATAAACTACATTGGCTTTTTTTTTTTTTACTAAAAAGATAACAGAATACATTTTGGCCAGGATTTATGATGAAATATTATTTATTTGCAAAATTTTATAAGAAAAATACTTTTTTCAAAATGTTTGGACTTTTCATTTACATAGCAAAAAAAAAATAAAAATCCCAGCGGTGAATAAATACCACCAAAATAAAGTTTTATCTGTCTCAAAAAAAGGGTAAAAAAATTCATCTGGGTACAGTGTTGCATGACCGCGCAATTGTCATTCAAAGTGTGAAAGCGCTGAAAGCTGAAAATTGCCCTGGACAGGAAGGGGGTAAAAGTGTCCCGACAGGAAGTGGTTAATTAGAGTATTTCAGGAAAATACTGCTTTATGGCCACTAGATGGAGCTAGCGATCATAGGAAATAATCATATTAGGCACAATAGGGTATTGATGATTGTTTTGTAAATGCTTGAGACATTCGCACATCAAATTTTTCTATATAGACTCCTAAGTGACAGCTTCTCATCCACGCCTTGTTTGTGTGTGCTGCAGTTTCCTGCTGTTAGTTTTGATATAGTTTTATTAAGTATAGGGGGACAAAGTTAATTTTAAGTCTTTTTGTGTCCAGAGGTGCATTCTCCTACGTCCGCCATGTGCTTGAGAAGAGAAGTGGGCTGGATTTTGCAGCCAAGTTTATTTCATCGCGAGGGTCATCCAAGGAGAAGGCGAGGAGAGAGATGAATATACTGGCCCTGATCAGCCACGAGCGGATCGTTTATTTTCACGAGGCGTTTGAGAAGCGGAGCGCACTGATCATCATCATGGAGCTGTATCCACCGCAGGCCACAAATCCACATTGCGAAGAGACATTTTATAGGGATGTACTCTACACTAAAAATCTGGAATGACATTTTTTTGTTTTCCAGAAATTAGTTTATTTTTTTCAAACTAAGGGGGGTATTTAAATAGCAAAGGTATGGTCATACTGTGGACATACTGATGCTTTTACAAAAAAAAAAACAAAAAAAATTATAATAATAAAGCTCCCCACATTTATGGGGGGAGTCAAAGCCGAATTAATTTCGAAGCTAGCTGAGTGCAATAAAAAAGAATGTTAAAAAAACTAATTGACTACTTGCTGCCCCACCACAGTACATTTACTGCGGCGGGGTGACACAGGTAGGCTCAGACACATAGGGGCTTATTTACTAAAGCTGGAGAGTCCAAAATCAGACTCCCTTCTGCATAGAAACCAATCAGCTTCTAACCTCAGCTTGTTCAATGAAGCTTTGGCAATGAAATCTGGAAGCTGATTGGTTTCTATGCAGAAGGGAGTCTGATTTTGGACTCTCCAGCTTTAGTAAATAAACCCCCATAGTTACATAGTTAGTCTGGCTGAAAAAAGACAAAAGTCCATCCAGTTCAACTATTAGAAAAAAAAAAAAAGTTATGATCGTATACCCACAGTTGACACGTACAGTATATATATGTGATTATGCCTCTCCCGGGTTAGGATAGCTCAGCTTGCTGCTCCTGTATTACTGCCCCTCCTGGATTACTGTTACCGGTAATCAGTAACTCTGTATCATGTGATTGCTATGATTGATCTTAGCAATCACATGATAACAATGTAAACAGCTTTTATGAATGGATTTCCATACATGAACAGGTTGATTACTGTTGTGATGTGTGATTGGCCCACAGCAATCACATGGCACCTGGCTACCTGTACCCAATTAACTATTAACTGTAGCCAATCACAGATCACAGCCATAAGCAAGCTGTTCATGAATGGAAAACGTATTCATGACAGCTAAAGTGATTGCTTATAGAGCGATCAGCACTGTGTAAACATCAGTAAAAAAAAAAGCCTGACCCCCCCCCCCCCCCCCCAGAGTAGTAGAGTGCCACTATGGTGACAATGAGCCGCTCTGATGGGTGTAAAAAAAATCGTAAAAAAAAAAGAAAGAAATGTTAAAAAATGTTATAAAAAATATTTTTTTTTTACATACTGTAACCAGTCAGTGTCCCTGATTACCGCCACACCAGAGTCATATGATGATGCTGTATTGCACTGATCACAGTATGTAAAGAAAAAAGTGTGAAAAAAAAATAATTAAGGCTGGCCATACATTATACAATTATCTGGAGATTTTTGGTTTAGATTTACCAAAAACCATATAATAGGAGGACAAACCTAAACAACACTTTCAGTTGTATCCAATTAGACAGGCCCTTGCACTACACAGTTGAACGTAAATCTAAAGTAAATTGGGCAGAAAATTGGAAGATAATTGTATAATGTATGGCCAGCCTTAGTTTCTTCATTTTCCAAAAAATTGTGACCAAAAATTACAACTTCAAAAAACTCACCATGCCTCTTACTAAATATTTCAGATGATAGTTACTTTACAAAAAGGGGACATTTGGGGGGTATTTGTACTGTCCTAGCATTTTAAGGCCTCAAGAAATTATTTACATCAGGATTGATCAATTTTCAAATTTTGCAGAAAAAACTTAGTACTTTGACTTTTTTTTGAAAAATAAAATTTCAGCAGTATTGTAGCAACATGCAGTGGGGTCAATGGGAGGTGTTAGGAGGGGTACGGGAGTATTTTTAACATCAGTTAGGGTTATCCCAGAATTCTACTTTAATTAACTGCTTCCCGTCCGCCCTATAGCAGAATCACTGCTACAGAGCGGCACGGGTGCGCAAAATCACGTATACATACATGATTTTGCATTTCTGGGTAGGGGGGGGGGCGCGCGCAAGCCCTACCCGCACCGCCATTCAGCCGTGGCTGTCAATCACCGGGTCCCGGTCAGTGATTACTAACCGGCACCCGGTGATTGCCGAGCATCTCCGACGGGGGGGAGAGAAACTGTTAGTAAACAAAACAGTTCTCTCCTCTGTCAGCTCCTGCACAGCGCAGCCATGCAAAGCAGTGTACTTACAGTGAAGCACACTGACACAGCCCCTAGTAAAACAGCACACAGCACACTGTTAACCCTTTGATAGCCCCACATGTAAACCCCTTCCTTCCCAGTGCCATTAGTACAGTGTCAGTGCTTTTTATTAGCACTGATCACTGTATTGGTGTCACTGGGGATGTCAGTGACACCAAGTCAGTTCCCCCCAGTGTCAGAATGCCCGCCGCAGTCCTGCTATAAGTCACTAATCGCCGCTATTACTAGTAAAAAAAAAATTCCAGTATATATACCGTCATTTGTAAACGCTATATCTTTTACGTAAACCAATTAATTTACACATATTGGATTTCTTTTAGCAAAGACATGGAGCAGAATACATTTTGGCCTACATTTATGACGAAATTTGATTTTATAATTTTTTTACTGCACATGTTTAATAGCAAAAAAGTCAAAAATATTGTTTTTTTCCTCAAAATTGTATTTTGTTTTCTTTTATAGTGAAAAAAACAAAAACGCAGAGGCGATAAAATACCACCAAAAGAAAGCTCTATTTTGTGGGGAAACAAACGTAAATTTCATTTGGGTGCAGCGTTGAATGACAGCGCAATTGTCAGTTAAAAGAAACACAGCGCCGTAACGCAAAAAATGGCCTGGCCAGGAAGAGGGGTAAATCCTTTAGAGGGCGAGGGGTTAAATAGTATAGTGCAATTCCGCTATATGCATCAAATAAAGTGTGCGACTAAAGCTAGCAGTATTGCCAGCATCCTGCCTGGCTAAACATTAACATGGATTTAATAAATGGTACCAAATTATATCAGAAGCTTTTTAAATAGGACCCACGGGCTCAGACTTGCTGTTCACATCACAGCACTAATTGAGGAAATATAGTGTATTGTAGACACCAGTTTGTCTTTATACTGTTCCTTGACTGGCTGCAGATGTTCCAAGGAAGAGCTTTTGGACAGAGTGGTTAAGAGAAATCTACAGTGCATGAATCGGAGGTGAGTACAGCACATATGCAGAATCTGTGACATTTGTAATAATGTGAAAGCTGCACAATGTCCATTGTATTTTTTGGCACTGCTTGATTGCAATTAGTATTAGGTCTGTTGTTTTAGGCAGGTGCAGGTGACGCTCATCCATAGCAGCAATGCATGTGGAGGAGGAAGTCAAGAGGATCCTTGTTCCTCTATCATCTGCTCAGTCACAGAGAGGCAGCATCCAATTGGATGCTGGCAACACACTCCAGTGTGACTTTGGTGGCCATGTTGGGTCAGGCAGAGACTATTTAAGACCCTGGCTCCCCGTTTTTAGGTGTGCATTTTGCATGTGGATATAGTAGGGACAAGCAAAGCTGCTGTTAGAAACCACGGTGCACCATACAGCCAACCTGACAGGGCCCCCCCCCCCCCCCCGTCTAAAAAAAAGAAACACAGTTTTCTATGCTTCAGTTGTGAATGAACACATTGAGTGATAGGTACCAATCACTTATTGTTTTCATCCAGGAAAGGAAGAGGCTGGCAAATGGGACATATTATTAGACTGTTCCCCCCACTCTCCATCCAGAAGGATCCTATTGTGTGCTTGCAGTTGCCAGTGGGAAGGAGATCAGGGAAGCCGGCAGCACTGCGGGTGATGGGGGGCACACAGGGGGGCCCTGGGCAGCAGAAGGAAATGTATGCTGCACAGGGAGGGTGATTGGTGTAGCAGGTGGAGGGGGAATTTACTGAAACTGTTCCCCTGTACGGCTCTCTGTAGCAGCTGAAAGCCAGCGGGAGGAAGAGGAGAAAAATCCAGCTTTCAGCTGCTGCAGCAGAGAGAGCCATACAGGGATTGGTTCCAGTAATTACCCCCTCCGCCATACCGATCACCCTCCCTGTCCACATCCCTGTCCATTGTATTTTGAGCACTGCTTGATTGCAATTAGTATTAGGTCTGTTTTTAGGCAGGTGCAGTCTATTTTCTTCACTGCAGGTGGGCGCTCATCCATAGCAGCAATGCATGTGGAGGAGGAAGTCAAGAGGATACCTTGTTCCTCTATCATCTGCTCAGTCACAGAGAGGCAGCATCCAATTGGATGCTGGCAACACACTCCAGTGTGACTTTGGTGGCCATCTTGGGTCAGGCAGAGACTATTTAGGACCCTGGCTCCCCGTTTTTAGGTGTGCATTTTGCATGTGGATATAGTAGGGACAAGCAAAGCTGCTGTTAGAAACCACGGGGCACCATACAGCCAACCTGACAGGGCCACCCCCCCCCCCCCCACTAAAAAAAGGAAACACAGTTTTCTATGCTTCAGTTGTGAATGAACACATTAAGTGATAGGTACCAATCACTTATTGTTTTGATTCAGGAAAGGAAGAGGCTGGCAAATGGGACATATTTATTAGACTGTTCCCCCACTCTCCATCCTGAAGGATCCTATTGTGTGCTTGCAGTTGCCAGTGGGAAGGAGATCAGGGAAGCCGGCAGCACTGCGGGTGATGGGGGCATACAGGGGGGCCTGGGCAGCAGAGGGAAATGTATGCTGCACAGGGAGGGTGATGGGTGCAGCAGGGGAGGGGGGTAATTACTGGAACTGTTCCCCTGTATGGCTCTCTGTAGCAGCTGAAAACTAGCAGGAGGAAGAGGAGAAAGAATCCAGCTTTCAGCTGCTGCAGAGAGAGCCATACAGGGGATCAGTTACAGTAATAACCCCTCCGTCATGCCGATCAACCTCCCTGTCCACATCTGATTCACCCCCCCTGCTGGCTGGGCCCTGTACAGGAGGAGGAAAGCTGGCAGCATTACGGTGATAGGGGGGCCTGGGCAGCAGGAGGAAATGTATGGTGCACAGGGAAGGTGATGGGTGTAGCAGGGGTGGGGGAAATTACTGGAACTGTTCCCCTGTATGGCTTCTGTAGCAGCTGAAAACTAGCAGGAGGAGAGGAGAAGAATCCAGCTTTCACCTGCTGCAGAGAGAGCCATACAGGGGATCAGTTTCAGTAATAACCGCTCCGTCATGCCGATCAATCTCCTGTCCACATCCGATTCACCCTCCTTGCTGGCTGGGCCCTGTACAGGAGGAGGAACAGTATTTAGAATCAGGGAGAGGTTTCAGACGAGTAGGGAAAGTGCAGGGACACGCCACTTCCCACATTGGCACGGAACAACCAGGCTGTGTTCTGCCCTCCAAGACAGGTGCTGTCGACACACCAAAATATATAGAATTGCACTTACTATATATGTAGTAAAAAACCCCATTAAAACTCCTTTTAACAGCCGTAATCCAGTTTCCCTGTGGCATCAGCATCATCGGCTCCTCCCACATGTTACGTCACTCCCGACGTGACTTCTGATTTCTGACTTTTACTTCATATATATTGTAAGTGCAATTCTTTTAATAAATGCTTGATACTGATTATACTACACTATGAAAGACTATCCCATATTTGTTTGAGCATGTCAGCAGTGGAGAAGGCAGGGACCAGGGGTCTTTTAAAGGGACATACACCAGGTGGAATATTAAAGGGTAGAAGATCCATATCTGAGGAACTCCCTGAGATATTCATACCCCCAAGGGGAAACACTTATCTAGACCTAATAATGAAAGGTCCATGATTGGAGGTGAGCTCATTAGAGGATAGGTGGTGGACCTACTTACATGCTGGTGTGAATCGCTGTGATTATTGAGCACAAAGTGGAGGAAGAGATTGCCTGTTTATACACCAATACATTTTGGGGACTACAGTATAAAGCACTGATCTTGGAGTTATTTACGATGGAATAATTTTTGTTCATCACATAAATCTTTGTGTATAGGTCTTATATTTCGATATTGTATTTTGCACAACAACGGGGAACGCTGCATAACACATACATAGTTACATAGTTATAATCCTAAAAAGAAAAACACCCACAGTTGATCCAGAGGAAGGCAAAAAAAAAACCCAGCAAAGCATGATCCAATTTGCTGCTGCAGGGTAAAAAATTCCTTCCTGATCCCCCGAGAGGCAATCGGATATTCCCTGGATCAACTTTACCTATAAATGTTTAGTATCCAGTTATATTCTGTGTATCCAAGAAAGAATCCAGGACTATTTTTAAAGCAATCCACTGAGCTGGCCACAACCAACTCTTGAGGGAGTCTATTCCACATTCTCACAGCTCTTACTGTGAAGAAACCTTTTCCGTGTTTGGAGATTAAATTCTCCTCCAGACGTAAAGAGTGCCCCCTTGTCCTCTGTGATGACCTCAGGGGGAAATAACTCTACACCGAGTTCACTATATGAACAAATGATGTATCCCCACCCTTTTATACATGGAGTTCATATCCCCCCTTATGTATTATACATGGAGATCATATCCCCCTTATGTAACTTTATACATGGAGATCATATCACCCCCTTATGTAATTGTATTATCATACATGGAGATATCATATCCCCCCTTATGTATTATACATGGAGATCATATCCCCCCTTATGTATTATACATGGAGATCATATCCCCCCTTATGTATTATACATCCCCCCGGAGATCATATCCCCCCTTATGTATTATACATGGAGATCATTATCCCCCTTATGTATTATACATGGAGAATAATATCCCCCCCTTATGTATTATACATGGAGAGCATATCCCCCCTTATGTATTATACATTGGAGATGCATATCCCCCCTTATGTATTATACATGGAGATAATATCCCCCCATTATGTATTATACATGGAGATCATATTCCCCCTTTGTATTATACATGGAGATCATTATCCCCCCTTATGTATTATACATGGGAGATAATATCCCCCCTTATGTATTATACATGGGAGAGCATATCCCCCCTTAATGTATATGTATTATACATGAGATCATATCCCATCTTAATTTCTTTTTCTTCTCAAGAGAGAATTTTTTCCCTATCTCTAATCTTTCCTCATAGCAGATCTCCGCCATGCCTCGTATACATTTTGGTTGCCCGATCTCTGGACTGTGCTCCAGTGTCCCCAATGTTCTTATTTTGTGAAATGGTGCCAACACTGAACTTGCCATATGTCCAATAGATGTATACTAATGATTGTAGCAGGGGAAATGATATCTCTCTCCGATCTATACTCGTTAAATACAAGAGAGGATTTTGCCTCTCGTAATATACCTTATTGCACAGTGCGGAAACAGCATTTATATGTGATCATACACTCTGCACATTGACACAGCTTTGGGTCAGTACCACACAACAGGATAACTTACTATATTATGATTTACCCTAAATTTTCATCATTGCAGTTATAATTGGCGCAGTAAAGGTAGTCGCGTGCGCGGAAGTTACACCGATGTTCAACATTCTTAATAAT